GTGTGTGTTCGTTTTTTTTAAATCTCTTTTTGAGATGAAGTCTTGCTGTGTAGCCCAGGCCAGAGTGCAGTGGCGTGATCTTGGCTCAGTGTAACCTCTGCCTCCTGGGTCCTGGTTCAAGCAATTCCTCTATCTCAACCTCCCAAGTAGCTGGGATTACAGGCACGAGCCACCATGCCCAGCTAATTTTTGTATTTTTTAGTAGAGACAGGGTTTCATCGTGTTGGCCAGTCTGGTCTTGAACTCCTGACCTTGTGATCCGCCTGCCTCAGCCTCCAAAAGCGCTGTGATTACAGGCATGAGCCACCACGCCTGGCCGATAAGTGGATTTTTACATGGAGCAGCTGACATAACATATTAAGAATGTAAGGCCTGGTGTGGTGGCTTATACCTGTAGCACTTTGGGAAGCTGAGGCAGGTGGATCACTTGACGTCAGGAGTTTGAGACTAGTCTGACCAACGTGGTGAAACTAAAAATACAAAATTAATACAAAATTAGCTGGATGTGGTGGCGCATGCCTATAATTTCAGCCACTCTGGAGGCTGAGGCAGGAGAATCACTAGAACCCAGGAGACGGAGGTTTCGGTGAGCTAAGATTGCACCATTGCACTCCAGCCTGGACAAGAACAGCGAAACTCCATCTTAAAAAAAAAAAAAAAGAATGTAATATGTTCCTGATACAGAGCAAATAAAAACCCATAAATGTGTTTTTAGAGGAAAAGTAAAAGATAATGTGGCTTGAGGTTTTTCTGAAAGTTCTTCTAGAGTGAAGTTGGAATTTAGTTTGAGCAAGTTGCAATGTGACGAGTGCAGAGTTAGAGCTGAGCAAGTTAGTGTTACCCCATGATCTGATCTGCGTACCCTCTGGAAATGTGGTGGCTAAAGCCAGGCCAGACCAGGACACTGCTCCAGTCCAATATTGCCAACCAGTCAGTCTGGTATGGCCCCTTGGTGGTCCTTGTGTACATGTCCCCTCCTGGTCTCTGGCTGGAGGCCTGATCTCCTGTGGGGGCAGCATTGCTGCCCTTGCTATGAGCCTGTCTTTGTACTGCATGGCCACACAGGCTTGTCAGCTGGCTGCGGGAGCAAGTGGCTACTGGGAGTGGGATACAGTGTGCCTCTGGCAGATACAGATGTTACAGGGGCCAGGCTGAGGTTGAATAGACCTCTGTTGAGTCCTGGGTGCCCTTGCCTGAGTCCTGCCCTGGCATCTTGTCTTGTGAGGCACAGGAGTACATGTGTGCTCTGCAAGAGTTGTGGCAGAAGAGCCTATGGCCTGGCTTCAGCTCTGTCTTCATGGAAAACCTTTGGCATCCTTGGCTTGCCAAGGATTTGGGGACTCCTTTCCAAGGGGTTATAGGAACCCAAGGGTATACCCCAGAGCCTCTAGGCTTGGTCAGAATGTGGAAAAAAAAATGGAGGTTGAGACAGAAGCTGCCCCCCTCCTTTGTTTGGGGATGGACCTTCAAGCCTCTGCAGCCCGGATGCAGGCACACATGTGTGTGTGTGAAGGGTTGCTACTTCCTTCTCAGCTTTCTAAAACCAGGCACAGTCCCACAAACAGACCTTATGACTCCCATGTCATTTGTCTGTGTGGCACACAAGCAGCTCTTACTGATTTCCTTTTTAGTGTCTGGGGATATTTACTTGTTTATGTGATGCCGTCTTTAGCTTTTAGCCCCTCATACCTGTGAAACTGAAGTAGTCTTTTGAAAGTCTCCTTCTTCGTATTAGGCTTCATTACTTTTAATTTCTTCTTTTTTTGGGGACAGAGTCTTGCTCCATCACCCAGACTGAAGTGCAGTGGCACAATCTTGGCTCATTGCAACCTCTGCCTTCTAGGCTCAGGTGATTTTCCCATCTCAGCCTCCCGAGTAACTGGGACTACAGGTGTGTGCCACCACACCTGGCAAATTTTTGTATTTTTTTGTAGAGACAGGGTTTTGCTGTGTTGCCCAGCTGGTCTCAGACTCCTGGGCCGCCTGCCCAGTGATCTGCCTGCCTCAACCTCCCAGAGTGCTGGGATTACAGGCGTGAGCCACCTTGTCCTAGCCCAACTTTAATATCATTGCATCTTTCCCCTGCGTTGGAGTTAAGTAATTTCTGTAGTCTACAACAGCTTCTCTGACATTCAGTTATACTGCCATTTTTATTTCTCTCTCTCTCTCTCTCTCTCTCGCTCTCTCTTCTTCCTTTACTTTTTCCTTTCTCTCACCTCTGTCACCCAGGCTGGAGTGCAGTGGCACAATCTCATCTCACTGCAGCCTCTGCTTCCTGGGTTCAAGCAGTCCTTCTGCCTCAGTCTCCTGAGTAGCTAGGATTATGGGTGTGTGCCACCACGCCCGGCTAATTTTTTTATTTTTAGTAGAGGCGAGGTTTCACCATGTTGGCCAGGCTGGTCTTGAACTCCTGACCTCAAGTGATCAACCTGCTTTGGCCTCCCAGAGTGCTGAGATCAGAGGTGTGAGCCACCGTGCCTGGCCTCATGTCTCACTTTCTTTGCTTGACTCCTTGACTGTGCACTGTGGCTAAGTGCTTTCACTATTGTGCTTATGGCACTGTCTTGCAACTCTCTGCAGTTGAGGCTGGGACTCAGGAGTCAGCCTGCCAGGACTCAGCTCTAGTTCAGCTGGCTGATCTTGATAAAGAACTTAATCTCGCTAAGCCTCAGTTTTCCTGTGTATGAAAATGAGGAAGATGATACCATCACCTGAATGGAAAGGTCTTAATGCAGTTGTTAAGATCTTAAGGTCTTAATACAAGTTAATACCAAACACTTGTATTAGCAGTTGTTATATCGTCACTTTTAAAACCCAAGTTTTTGTTGTCTCAACCCTTATTCCCTTGGTTTTTTTCTATAGCTGCTTCCTGAAAACCTTCCTGTTTGACCAGTTATTAAACCTGCCACCACCTAATATTTGGTTATTTAATTTTAATAGTTTTGTACCTGTTTTAAAGTGTTTTCATGTCCTCAGGTATTCCCTCAGTTTTGAAAATATAATGCCAAATGGGTATACTTGGATTCTAGCTTTTGTGTGTGTATGTGAAATATTTGATCTATTTATTTATTTTTATTTATTTATTTTTTACAGGCATTTCATACAGGATATTTATTTTTAATTTATCTATTTAAAAAACTTTCAAGTCAAACAGTACAGAAGACACCCAACCCCCTCATCTACATTCTCCACCTTGAAACATCTTGTTCTACCTGTTCTATCTCTCTCTCTTTTTTTTGTTTTTTTTTTGAGATGGAGTCTCACTCTGTCACCAGGCTGTAGTGCATTGGCGCAATCTCAGCTCACTGCAACCTCCACCTCCTGGGTTCAAGCGATTCTCTTGTCTCAGCCTCCTGAGTAGCTGGGCGCCTACAGGTGCCCACCACCACACCCAGCTAATTTTTGTATTTTTTGTAGAGGCAGGGTTTTACCATTTTGGCCAGGATGGTCTCGATCTCTTGACCTTGTGATCTGCCTACTTCGGTCTCCCAAAGTGCTGGGAATACAGGGGTGAACCACTGTGCCTAACCTCCATCCCGTTTGTTACATGATAGCTGGTAGCTGTCATGGCACTTTACCCCCAAATACATCAGAACGAGGACAGTGTCCTTACTGATTCAGCACCCAGCCACATTTCAGGAAACATCACATTAGTAACAAGGTCTACTGTGCTAAAAGTAGGTATGGGGGCATGTCCCCAGCAGGCCCCATACCTACTTTTTTCTGCTGTTTGGGGTTGAGATACATGCTTTGCATCTGGTGGTTGTGCCTCATCAGGTTCCTCTAGTCTAGAACAGCACTCCCAACCCCCAATTCCTCATGACCGCTTTAGCTCTCTCATGATCAGACCTAGGTCAGAAAGGCCAGGTTGGATCTCAAAATTGGAACCATGAAAGGTAGCTTTGGCCCTTTACTAAAGATCTGTGTGCAGAAGAAGGGAGTGTGTTGCACCAGCCTAGGCTGGGCAGTGGCCTGGCTCATCTCACCAGTCTGCTTCTCTAGGAGTTATTGTGGGTTGTAGGGTAGGAGGTACAAGCAAGCCTACTTCAGAAGACTGATAATATACTTTTTTATTTCCATGAAAGCATTAGAGTGGAAAAGATATTATACATTTGAAAAGCAGTTCAGAAGGAGTTGAGCTTAGGTAGCTACCCTCCAACTGGAAGGAGATTCAGATAATCTTAAAAAGGAAAGAGATCAAAGGAAGTGAGCAGAACAAAGAGAAGTGAGGGAAGGACAGAGTGCTAGTCAGACCGCATCAGGAGGAACTTATGTGTCAGCTGACCTACCCTTGGTAGGTGACGGCCACTGGACCTCTCTGTGGAAAGGCACAGGTCCCTATTGTCACTAATGAGGGACCTGTGGGGCCATGCTTGGAGTCTGTCCCAACAGTGTAGCTTTCGTTCTTGTTGTTTTGAGATAGGA